CGTCAGGCTCTGGGCTGATGGCTCAGAGCCTGGAGCCTGCTTCCGATTCTGTGTTTCCCTCTCTCTCTGACCCTCCCCCGTTCATGCTCTGTCTCTCTCTGTCTCAAAAATAAATAAAAACGTTAAAAAATAAATAAATAAATACAATGAAATAAAGGTAGATATATAACAATATAATATAGTAATAGCTACCATTTTTTAATACCTACTATACGCCAGGCAAATATTATCTTTACCTTAATAACCTTATAAATATATTTTTCAGACGAGAAAGCTAAGACTCAAAAAGTTTAAGTGACTTACCAAAGGTCACAAAACCAGCAAGTGCTGGAATTAAGATCCAAGTCTAACTCCAAAGCCCACACGCTTTCTCTAGCACATGATGCTGCCTCTGTATTTCTCCTACATGTGAATATATTTTAAAATGACTGCTTCCTGGGGCACCTGGGTAGCTCTGTTGGTTAAGTGTCCCAACTCTTGACTTCAGCTCAGGTCATGATCCCGGGGTCATGGGATTGAGCCCTGCATCAAGCTTTACCCTGACAGCTTGAGATTCTCTTTCCCACTCTCCTGGTCCCTCTCCCACTTGCATGTACACACATACACTCTCTCAAAAACAAAAACAAAAGCAAAAAACAAAAACCTAAAATGATTGCTTCCTTTTCCTTTTTACAGGGGCTACACTCAAACCACGTGGGCTTCTGTGTGCAGGTTGGCCCTAATAACTTTCATGCATATGCTATAAAATTCACTTCAAAATGGAACAGGATGAAATGTCAGTCTCCTCCCACTCCTGACCACAGTCCTGTAGTCCCAGATCCTTCATCGAGGCCACGACTGCTTTTTGGGGTTTTTTTTTTGAGTACTCACTCATTCAGAGATAATATATTCATATATGAGCCTCCTCTTTCCCTCCTATAAACAGCATATTATTTATACCACATTCCACTATGCTTTTTAATCTATTAACTTATCACACAGATTATTTCCATCAGAAGCTTTTTTTAATAGCTGTGCCGAATTATATTAATTGGATATATCATAATTTATTTAACCTGTTCCCTACTGGTGGCTAGTTAGGTTGTTCCCATGGCAATGACAATTTAAAGAGTTTCCTACCATATGAAAGTAATTCTTACATCCTCTGGTTAATAACATGCACAATCTTAAAGTAATTTCCTATTCCTTCCCTTTTTCAACCCCCTGCACTGCCAAGTCCTATTCATTCATTTCTGTCTCTCTTGACACAGTTCTTTCTTATTTCCTCCAGCTACACTTCAGTTCTTTATAAGCATCTCCCCAGGGGCGCCTGGGTGGCGCAGTCGGTTAAGCGTCCGACTTCAGCCAGGTCACGATCTTGCGGTCCGTGAGTTCGAGCCCCGCGTCAGGCTCTGGGCTGATGGCTCAGAGCCTGGAGCCTGTTTCCGATTCTCTGTCTCCCTCTCTCTCTGACCCTCCCCCGTTCATGCTCTGTCTCTCCCTGTCCCAAAAATAAATAAACGTTGAAAAAAAAAATTTATAAGCATCTCCCCAGACTAGCTCTAGTCATATTCCTGTCTCCAGGCATCCCCCGACTTTAAAATATTCAGCACACAGCTTTAGGAATCATCTTCCAAAAATCATGCTTCAATGATGTTGCTTTACCACCACTGCTCAAACACTTCAAGCAGCCTTTCATTATTTATCAAACTCGAATTCCACACTCTAGACCACAAGAGAGAAGAGGGAAGCATACAAACATTAACTGAACATCCACGAATGTGCCAAACACTGTGCAGACATCATTTCACTTAATCCTCCCTCAAATCTTGCAATGGAATGTGATATTAGCCCCATTTTACAGCCAAGAAAACAGAGGGTTAGAGAGATTAGCGACTTGTTTAAAGTTATCCAGCTAGTATGTGGTTGAGCTAGGATACAATTTCTGTTTGTCTAACTGCAAAGCACATGCTTTTAATCGGCAAGTGACACTGTTTGCTAAAAGGGATATCTTCATCCAGTTCATAGTGTGAGAATTAACCATAAGGATTTAGGTGAAATCACTCAGCCAGAGCTTCGCACAGCTGCCTCATTCCTGTCATGCAGGCTTCAACCAAAATGTGGCCTCCTCAGACAGGATTTTCCTGACTATGCCAGCCCCACAGGAACAACCTTTCATACAATCTCATATTGTCTAATTCTTTTTTTTTTT